AGGAAGCTCATAAGATAAACAAACCGCTAACAAATCGGGTAGCTTACAGGATTTGAGATATCAATGTTTTGTAGCAGGATAGTTGTGATAACACTCTTAGGGCTATATAAACACCTGCTTAGCACACTTCCGTTCATTCCACATGGTGCTGCAGTGGCAGCTGGAGGGCAGTGGAGAGAGGAGGGAGGAGGAAGGGAAGCGAAAAATCTACCGTCATATCATGATTGTGTCCCTTCTACTGTATGAAACACCATTGTGTTGCATACGCGTCACTTCCAGGAGGTGTTGGTGTCACAGGAGGAAGGGACCATAGCGGAGGATAGAAAGCTTGCGCAGGAAAGGAAGGTCCCGGCGGTTGACGGGGGACTAATCTGGTATTTATTAAAAGGAGAGAAATTAAAACAAGTCATTTCGCTAACGATGATTCTTTCTCGACGCCCGAAGGATGACGACTCCAAAGACGGTTTCACCAACTGGCCTTTCATGACCACGCACACATGGGGCGAGAATCCTATCGGAAAATGGAGACTTATCGCCAGATTCCAAGTAAGGATCATCCCACTAATCTTCTTTCCACGTATTTGGTTCCTGATTGCCTAGATTAACCTGTTCATTTAGGGTCCCGGAAAACATCGTGGTACACTGAAGAAATTCTCCCTGATGTTGCACGGCACCAAGGAGCCTCCATATGCCGGAATCGAGCCTTCTGCTTGGTCATGTGAACTCGAAACTGCAAGTGGTGCAGACCGCCCACAAGAGAATCTCACCATGAACTTGACACCAGCACATCGTCGTCACCGTCTGATGATATGATCTCTAACTATCAACTGAAACACTCTACTACACATAGTTCAACCAGTCTTCACAGAACAGATTTCTATGGCACATTCCCAGTTTTCTTTCCGGGTTCATCATCCTCCCTCTAGTCATTCGGTTCCTCCCTCCCCCTTTTCTTGTTCTTCAGCACTCGCCCTCCAGCGCTGTGGTGTGTCATCAATGAGCGCGCAGTGATCGTCGATCTCACGAACTCTCCTCTTCAGTCATGCAATCGTATGCGGTGAATAAATGGCTAACTGTTGAATGTAGATAAATGAATGCGTTACTTACTTGACTGCCTATTTCTAAGCAAATGGATGGTATATGTAGAAATGATCAACAAACATTCGTGAGTTCGAAGGACAGGAATTATGCATGAAAGGGCTGTAAACGTTTTTGCGGTATAATTAGTCATTCGGCAAATGCGTTGATATCATTCAGCACATTAACATAGTAAAAATAGAATTATGATCGATAGAAGTAAAAACTACGTCCATGCAAAGAAATCTCAAAGCTGTTCATAACACATGTAGGTTGAAAGAAACTCTGGTGCGCCGCGCACCGGAGTTGACCACGAGTACCTTGCTGAACGATGCAGTCCTTCTCGAACTTAAAGTCAGACGAAGGCAAAGCGGCTGAAAAAAATGGCATAATGAAGCACATCAGCTACCATTTTCCTTGTGTACAAGGAAATCGTCAATCCAAAATCGGAATCGAAACCGCTTCCCTCTCAGAGGCAACCGAATACTTTGATTTTTCATGAGAATTTCTTCTTCAGTAGTCTTACTAGCAAGGCAAATGGCACTTTTTCACCACCGCGTTGTTAAAGGACGAATTCACGCTGGAAAGGCAACCCATTTCAAATTAACCTAGCGATGGTGAGTGGTACACTAAAGAAGGAAGAACCATGAGAAACGGCCCAGAACCT